CCTCTCCTGAAAAATTTGCCTCGCTACCTGCGCAGGACCATTCGTCGTTTTCCCTTACGACGGCAGCCTGGAAGTCAAGTTTTACAACGATACGCAACCGGCGTCTGTGGAGTAATTTGTAGGATTTTCGAAAAAGATCAGACTTTGATTCCCGAGTTTGTTTGCGTGTTCGTTTTTTTTTCTACCAAGTATCTCCATTTAAGTAGCAACGTGGTGAAATCAAGCGCTCGTCAAAATAATGAAGTCGAGGACATGGACATTTTTCTGGCCGTTGGGCAATTTTTAAATTTGCTTTCTTTCGGCTCAACACCTTTCATGCCCATTTAAAAGCACATTTCTGTGTGACTTTTAATGGTGTTAAAAAGTTGATATAAGGTACAGAAAAAGTATATTTGCAGTTTTCAAGGACACTCAAGCTTGGGAAGTCACTTAACTTCGGCGGCCATTTTCTCGCTAATTTTATTTCTATCATCAGATAGCTCCCACTCCTTCAATCGCTAATATTTCGACATCTATTCAAGATTGATACGTATTTATTATTTATTTCATCAGAAGCAAGTCCAAAAAGAAAAAAGAAAAAAAAGACCCGCCCCCAACCCTCCCCCCAAAAAACAACAAAAATACCCTCAAACAAACAAGTTATAAGAGTATACCAATAACTTCATATTATTTTAAAATGTGACGACTCTACCACGCTGCGACACATTAACTGTCTGCTGCACGGCTGTATCTCACAGCGCTCTGGTTTGCCATGGCAGGCAGTGTCGATGCAGCCTTTAAACGACAGTGATCTTGATTTTGTCTATAGGAGTGTTTGCTTGTTTGTTTGTTAGAGTAAAGAAAAGCACATCGACACAATAATGGTCATAATTTAGTGATGGAAAAAGTAAGGCAGGCAGAGAGTAACAACAGAGGGAACGTGAAGAAGTCGGACCCACCAGAGGCGCCATCCAACCACCCGCGATGGCTGTGTAGCACATTTACAATCAATTAGTCGTTTCCAATAAAAATGGACGGATAAAAAGGCAGATTAATAAAGAAAAACCGTAATCTAGACGAAAGTAAAGAGACGAAACTGACAAAGAGAAAAAAAAAGAAAATTGAGTAAATGAAAAAATATTTATCGGAATGGAGGAAAACTATTAGGTCGCCCCCACAGAAGCCTCCTCGAGGAAGAATTAGGAAGTATACTCTTTATCACAGTTAAAGTACTTAATACTCTTTTTCGTTTCCGTTTAACAACAAT